GTCCAGTACGACGGCAACAAGGTGGTCAGCGGTGCCTACGACTACACGGTCAAGGTGTGGGACCCCGAGAGCGAGAGCTGCACCCACACGCTGCAGGGGCACACCAACCGTGTCTACTCGCTGCAGGTACACCCTGTGTGCATCCCCTCCTGCTGCTCCCCCTCCAGCTGCCCTGCCCTCCCTGCTCCCTCAGGTACATCCCTCCAGCCCTCCAGGTACATCCTGCCCTCCCTGATCCCTCAGGTACAACCTGCTTTCCTGCTGGCTTGCCCTATCGCTCCCCTGCCTTCCAGTCATGGGCACAAGCTGTGCCAGAGGTCCCACATATGTTGTAGGGACCAATAGGCTGTGCCTGTGTCAGGCAAGGCCCCGTGAGATTTGCAGGGATATGTGTGCCCTGAAGGGGATGTATCTGCCCTGCAAGGACACATGGACCATGTTTGTGTCCTGTGGGGACAGTCTCTGCCCCCCTGACCCCACTCCCCACACGCACAAGCTGTGGACACAAACACTCCTCCGTGCCCCTTCCCTGGAGCATTTCTACAGTCCAAAAAGCCAAGAGGTGTGTGAGCCTGTCTCGTCTGCTGAACTAGGGTCTCTGCTGGTGCTGGGGGGGTGCTCTATCCCAAACCAGGGGATCCAGAGCTGTGGGCTGCACCCCAAAGCAGGGACACTCCTGTCCTTGGTACTGAGCTGGACCCCTTCCCTCTGGCAGTTTGATGGGACACACATCGTGAGCGGGTCCCTGGACACTTCAATCCGTGTGTGGGATGTGGAGAGTGGGAACTGCCTGCACACGCTCATGGGGCACCAGTCCCTCACCAGCGGCATGGAGCTGCGCGACAACATCCTCGTGTCCGGCAACGCCGACTCCACCGTCAAGATCTGGGACATCAAGACGGGGCAGTGCCTGCAGACGCTACAGGGTGAGAGGGCATTCATTCCTCACCCTCGGGGGGCCGTGGGGCTGGGGCAGCTCTCCATTGGGGCTGGGCTGGCTCTAAGCTGCCAGCTGTGTCTGGGCAGAGTGCTGTGTGTCCCTGAGGAGCCAGGGCTGGGTGGCTCTGAGGTGCTGTGTCACCCAGCAGCGGGTGTGACCCTCACGGGTGCCTCCCCCTAGGTCCCAGCAAGCACCAGAGTGCCGTCACCTGCCTGCAGTTCAGCTCCAAGTTCGTGGTGACCAGCTCGGACGACGGCACGGTGAAGCTGTGGGACCTGAAGACGGGGGAGTTCGTGCGGAACCTGGTNGAGGAGGAGGCGCCAGGGCCCTGGGAGCAGGAGCGCCCCTGGAAGGGTACCCCCAGGTCCGGAGCAGACCCTGATGGTTCTGGGGGGCGGGGACCTCAGGAGCCCCCCAGGTCCACCAGGGAGGAGGAGGAGGAAGAAGAGGAGGAGGAGGAGGAAGGGAGCTGCTGCAGCGAGGAGGGGGAAGACAGCAGCAACGTCTACCTGTACTACACGCTGGGAGAGCGCTGGATCGACTACCTGCAGCGCACGGGGGACAGGGGGCTGCTGCGGCACCTGCGCCCCAAGGTGCGGGGGCTCCGTGGGGCCTGGCTGCTGGGGCTGGGGAGGGAGATGCTGCCCCTGTCCCCATGCAGACCCTGCCCTGCACGGGGGTCCTTTGTTGCTGTAGGGACCCTGGAGGGAGAAAGCAGGAGCAGGTGGGGGTCTGCCCCATAGCTCTAGGCAGGGGGCCTGCAGGGGTTGGTTCTGGTGGGTGGCCTGTAGGGGTCTGCAAGGATCAGCAGACCGGTTGTGCTTCTGTGGGCAGGGGGGTCTCCGGGGGTCTGCCTGGGTTTCTCCAACCACTCCAACCTGCTGTGTCCCACAGATGAAGCGGAAGTCAGAGAATGGGCCGGATGGCCGGGCCCTGTCCCCTGGGAAGAAGCTGTGCAAGGGCTCTGACTATGGCAGGTGAGGGGTAGGGGGGCTCTGAGTGCAGCTGCTGAAGGGGGTCTTGTGTGCTGGGGCAACACATGGCTCCTGCTGCCTTCCCCAGGAGGATGGTGGAGCCGCTTGGGTTGAGCAGGGGTTGGCCCTGGGAGATGCAGCCCTGACCAGTTGCCTGTCTGCTGCACAGGCTGGGCTGCATGGCTGGGCAAGGGGTCAGCAGGGTGGGAGCAAGGAGAGGGGTCACTGGGGTGGAGCTCCCGCTGGCAGGAGCCAGTTCAAGAGCCTCTGGAGCACTGTGGCCCAGAGCAGTGCTGGCATGTGCCACCTGTGCCCTGGCCTCAGCTGTGCCCGGTGTTTCTCCCAGGACGCTGGGTCCCTGCACACCCAGCCCCACGACCACCTTTGGCGACCTGCGCAATGCCAAGGTGGGGCAGGCCCG